TATATATATATATATATATATAATTTTCCATACACTTTACATAGCTTAATTTATACAATAATTATACTTGTACTACATTATATCGTGGTACTTTACTAGGATATGTTACGAGTTTAGAGCTGTCACAATTCGTAGGATATTCAGAAATTCCATCACAGTCGATCAATTTTAACATCTTATCAAAACATATTCGTATTTCCAATATATATGATTCTCCAGTATTCTAAAATAATTTTTATGTTAAACTCAACTGTAAAATATGTCATACAATATTATACAATATATAAATAAGTTCCTACCTTGTTTTTTCTGCAGATTACAGCGCCTCGTTTACCTAATACTCGTTCAACGGCATCCAAAATAGCCTTTGTGCTATATTTTTTCCCAGGTATGACACTAGCTTTTGCTAACACATTCTTCATATCATACGTTGCCAGTAAATTCAAACCTTTAGCGAAATATTTGACCTCGCTGTTCAATTCCTTTAGAACCACCGCACAAGTACCATGTTTGTTCCATTCGTGTTCCCAAAGAGAATATGATGTCCTTCCGTATTCTACATCTATCCATTTTTCTTGTAATTCTCCTTTTAATGACTTCAAAGCATCTGGCTTAAATGGTATTGATTTATTACAAAATTGTGGACCTACTTTATGGTATTGAGAAGGCCAAATGCCGTGGATTGTCCACTCATCATGTTCTTTTGGTAACGAACACTTGTGCGATGGTGAACTTTCCTTCCATGTATAACAAACAGTTTGAGGCCAACTTTGAGTAAAAATTAAAACATCGAAATTGTTTGACCTGTAGTCTTCATCACTATAAAAACGATCTTTTATTTACAAAGAATACTCGGAAATATATTATAAATAATAAATGATTAAATATAAAAAAAAAGAATATGCTTAACAAATAATATTCTTTACTCACCTCTCTACACTTGCTTGAGCAACAAAAATTAAACATAAAATATTAATGATTATTTTGCAATTAGACATATTTAAGATGTTAGTTCTTAGTAAACAAAGGAAATCCAAAATTTAGTGACTGCAAATTAACACAAATCTCTCTGATGTAAGTGCCTTTTATAAATGTTGCCCTACCATTTCTACTTAAGTAACAGATGGTTATTTAGATATCTAAACGGTTTTGTAGAAACAAAGTACTTGAACATCTATCATTAGTGATATCAGTAATTACTTTTCATCTGTGCTTTTATCACAAACGAGATATATGATAATGAAATAAGACATGACATTTTATTTAACTTAATAAGATGTACATATAGATACATAGATAAAAGAAATATTTAATCCTCACTATATCATACTTTTTATGTCAAAATGAATGAAATATAAAAGTTAGTTGACCTTATTTTTCATTTTTTTTCAAATGATTTACTTATCTAATCAATATAGAGATATTTTCTTAGTGTATGTTTTTCTATTACAGCTTATAAAGAATTTCAATACAGAAGTGGTTAGAATTTACAAAATTTAAAAAAATAACACAAAGTTTAATGGAATACCATTTACAATTTCTTTTTAGAGGTTATTGTCCTATTAGAAGTCACATAGTAAAAGATTATATGTAGTTCTCTATATATGTATCTCTCTTTGTCTCTTTCATCCTTTTTTATATTGTTAAGAACATTTTAAATTTAGATAAATTATAAGAATTAAAAATTAAAATTTTTAATTTAGATAAAATCTTTATATCAGATAGCGATCAAGATAAAAATGATTTTTTTTTCCTTTTTTTTTCTTTCTTTCCTTTTTTCCATTTCTCTTTAAATTTACTCGTTTGTTTATAATAGAATATAGAACTTTTTTATATTCACATAACATTAATTGCATGTTTTTTCATAGATCAAACTTAATACTAGAATATTTTGACATTTATAACGCATTATTACTGCTATTATCTAGTATTATTACTATCTCATTCCTCAACGACATATCTTTGTTGTTTAACTCAATAAGTGAACAATGCTGATATCAGTGACTAAATTAAACTATTCTTAGTCAGTGTTGACATCAGAAACATATCGCTGTTTGATATTTTAACTAAAAGTGTGCTAGTAAAAATCATTATTAATATTATTTAATAATTGCAATTTAAACCTTTCAATTTAATTCTAATTGGAGCGTTAAGATCCATTTATAATATCGATAATCCGTGCATGAGTTAAACAGAACGAAGATACTGTCTAAGTATGTACATATTGGTAGTGTTTCATTATTGCTTCATTTGCAGATGTGTGTAATTTTAACCATAATGAATATTGATCATTGTAACAAAAGAAGTTAGGCATTCAACATATTAATATATTTCTTATTTTTAACCGAAGACTTAGTTGTGGTAGCCATTGGATTTTTGCAAAAGGAATCGTGCAAAAAGAAGACGGAGGATCCATCCAATTTGAATCAGTCGTAAAACACAAAAACAGTTGCTTCTATAGAACTATAGTCGTGCACAACTCGTTAGCATGATTGAGTTAATTTTTTTCAAATAATGGTGCAGTCGAACAAAGTGCATTCGTTCATTGACTTTGGATTAGTATGTTAATGATAAAGCATTACCAATATATATGCTTCGACGATGTACTCGGCTTGCACATGACTGTGTAGTACAAATGGACTTTAATTTGAAAGAAGGATGTATTTATCGAATTTCAACAGATTCGAAGTTGAAAATTTCTTTTATTTACAAAATCACGATACTGACGTAAATCATACAAAATTGTTATTGTCCAAACTACAATTTTTAATATGGAATTAAAACGACACCGATTATTTTATTTTTAGTAAAAAATAATTTTGGTGAAGAACAAATATAAGAGAAAGATTGCATTTGTAACTTTAAATTGATGTCAAATTAAATGTCAATGATGAAAGAAATATTTGCAAAATCATTTTTTTTTATATTAGAATTTAATTTTTAACGACTTTATATCATTTTACAGCATTATTTTTATGTAAAAACGACAATAGACAGTAGTGATTTATAACGATTACATCAACAGTTCAATCGCAAATTCAGTGATTGCAAATCCTCACTCGACATAAGGAGTAAAGCGTTCTTGTCTCCATTGTCGTAAAGAAAATGGGATATGCTTTTAAACATTAATATGCATTATGCATTATAAAAGATATATAAAATAAAATATATTTAAACGGTATAATGAATTTCTTTTCGATATCTTTATCTTTTTTCTATAAAAATACATTTGCATAAACATCTGCTTAATTACGACATAGAAAGTCAGCCAGAGTTGCTTTATTATCAAACACATGTGTACAAACGTCATTGTAGATAATATCACAAGCCATATTTTTTCACTTGTTAATTATTCACTTTACTAGTCACATTCTTTTATCATCTAGCTTTGTCTAGCCGGACATGCCTGATTTATTTTATACTTGACTTTGACATTTAAACAGTTGACATTTAAAGCTAGTTTAAAAATTGAAATGATAATTATTATATATATATATATATATATATATATATATTTACAAATATGTACATAATAACACTAATGTCATTTTATATTTAACTTTAAAACGTACATAAAATCAGTTTAATAATTAATAAAATTTCAGTACGCCTCGGACGAATCATTTGCCTCTGGAACTTTGAGACTCTTTATCTTTGTAACGAATAGGATATTATATAACAAAAAAAATTTGACCTCCATAATCATGTCCAAGTTCAATTTTATGGTCATATTTTTTAATAGTTCTACATCAATCCAAAAGTGTCAAATCATCTATCGTGACAAATAATTTTTGAAACTTGTAACACTAACACTCTCTAACACTTTAAATTCTTTTAAGTTTGTTTCATACATATACCCATATATATCTAATATATATTAGACAAAAAGGACAAAATCTAAAATTATTTATTTAAAAATTAAAAATCAAAATTTACTTATGTTCAAGTTCAAAATTTTATTAAATTAAAATTTTATAATAAATAATATTACTTATCATATAATATAAAATAAATTTTATAAAATAAGACTAGGTTATTTGGCAATGTTAAAATGATCTTTTATTATCCTTCCAATGAGATTAAGTGCTTGGAACGTTTTGTTCGGTGTAAGTCGTTGTCTAAGCAAATAATAAAAGAGAATCCGTAAACAGATAAGAATAATTATTAAGACAACAATGTCAACCCAAAAAATCACGTGTTCCATCTCTGAAATGAGAATTGAAACATTACATTTGATAATATATTTGAATAATATATTTCAAGATTTTCTAAATGCTTTTAAGAAACTTACGCATTATTAATAAAAGCTCACGAGGTGATCTAAATGGGCAGAACATTTCTTCGATTGGGCAATATAACATTTCTCTATTGTAACCGTATAAACTAGTTGTAAGACCCTCTAAACCATATCGAATGTAGCTTGAATACATTATTAATTTACGATAGAGAGGCAAACTTATGGTTTCACCCATTCCTTGTACAGCGAACAACATTATTGGGACAGTAAGTGCAGGGCCAACAAATGTACCATTCTAAAAAGTAGTATAGTCAGATTATCATTAGAGATATACTTTTTAGTACACTATATAGTATCTCCAAGTATTTCTCAATTAATTTATTAGTATTATAGGATCATTATCAATGAAAATTAATATGAAACGTACCACGATGTTCAACGTGCTGGCTAAAGCTAATGCTATACTTTCTGCGATAAATCCACATATTAAGCAAACGCTAAAGAACCTTGAACATCTAAAAAACTCAAGAGGTTGATCTGTGATCACATATACTATCGATAAATATATTAACGATAGTAATATCTGTAATGGTGAATCATTAATTATAATTATGATCTTGGTCTCCTCTCAAATGATTCAAAAAGCTATTGTATAATCTTTAATGCAATCGATCATTTTCTTACTTGTAAGGGTATGTTGA